TACTGACGTATCAAGCATCTGAGCAACACCATAATCTCGGGCAAAACCAACACCATGCCAACGTCCAGCACAGCCCAGCTCCTACAGGTGAAGACTTTAGTGTCCATCTGTCCCCTATTCAAGAGCCCCCGCCGGTAGACATGGCCACGCCCTCATATACGTCGGCCTCGAGAGCGCCCTCGCTATCAGCCATGCTCGATCTATCTGCTTTGGAAGCAACGCGCGTGCCTAGTTTGCACTCTGAGGAGAGCGGGCAGGATGAGCAGATCGATTTCGATGCGCTGTGGGCCTGGCCTAGTAACACACCTGCAATGGGCAGTCCACGAGCGATGGAAGCAAGCGGGGTGAGCGAGCGGGTGCAGGGTATTAGTGACAGTGCTGTACCCATGTTTGGGGTTAGTAGACAGGGCACAGATGGCCTTTGAAAGGGTGGACATGGGTGGAATTTTTGTATTGTTTTCGATTCTTTGTGCATACTAGCATGTGCATTTGGCTATTTGTCAATCTATGCATTCCGATCCCAGGCTTGTGGTACAGGGCGAAATGCGATGACACCTGACGTTGATGAGGGCGTCTCTCATCTTCTCAAGCATCTTTAGTGGTGTCTGACATGAACGCGTTGTTGTCAGCTATCTCCTTCTCACTTGTCCGACTTTGTCGCCATTCGTGCAAGCAATTGGGCTAGACGAGTGAGACAAGGACAGGTCGAGGCGAAAACAACGGTCGTCTTCGCGGCCTGTAACGCGATGTGCAACCCTTGTACCGCAGTGAGGACCTTCTCGACGTGAATAGGAGCGAGCCCGCAGTGGTCGCATTCGCCAGGGCGTTTAAACAGAGCAATCTCTTTTTGCATCGGATATTCGAATCTGAATGCCAGTGATTGTAGATGCATGAAGTTTGCTTGCCAGACGGTCGAGACGATGTAATCGTGCGGCAACAGGGCGAACAAATCGAAGGCGTCATCTCCTCCGAGCGGCGACTTTGGACTGCGGCTGAGAATGCAACGCATTGCCGAACTTCCAGTGACTAAAAGCCTTGGGAGCATCCAATACAAGTAGTGGGTACACGCCAGTACTTCCATCCTCCTAATGAAGTGTCCATAGGCTGCCGGAGGATGTTGCACGTATGCACATTTCTTTTGTATGTCTTCGTCAATAGTAACCTGGAACACGTTTCGCGTATAATACGTCTCTAAAGCTAGCGTAGTGAATTCGCGGTCCCGAGTGCCGATGATGGACGTAAGCTGTTCTGCGAAAACACGAGAGTGTGCAATCGAATCAATCCCGTTGGTTTGATCAAGGTTATGAGCCAAAATCTCCACCTTCAACTCATCTGGAAGCCGCGACCAGCCACGGAAGGTAGCAGGCGGTTTGGTGTTGGAATCGTCCATGTTGCTTTAGTTGCAACGAAGAGAGATCTATAGGCCGTGTTAGCTTTTGAGTAGAACAGAATGATCAATGAGCTATCGCGCGGACGATGTAGACGAGCACTCACCTTGAGGCTGTGTTAACGCGCAGACTGTCTGCACTCCAGACTTCGCGTTCACTGCTGTAATTGTGAGCCTCGTAGATCCGTATGATGTGGTCTCCTAACCAAGATTCTGGGGCGCTCAGAATCAAGGCAAAGGGTGTGAGAAACTGGCGAAGAGGTGAGTGGTGTTATCTACTGTAGCTGCCAAGCCTAGCCAACTCAGGACTGTGCGCTCCAGGTTGGGAAAGAGCAACGCTGTATAAGAGTCACTGAACTTTGGAGGGCACTGTGAGAAATCTTGAAGAGCACTGTGAAATTCTTTTGGTACCTAATCGTACATCTCACTCGTGCTGTCTCTTACAACGCCTCCAGAATGCGCACATCGCTCATCGCTTCAAAGGGTATCGTCTCGCTTCCTGCACCTTGCAAGGCCCACTGCAGGGTCTTCTCTACCGCACGTCTACCTGTGTGCTCAAGAGGTAGCCTATATAATGTTAGCAGATGCACCCTCAATATTGGTGTTCGGGTCAGCTCACCAATGGCCTGCTCCTTTGATAACCACGACCTGACTTCCCTTGACCAGATAGTCGCGAGCGTTATCAAATGAGAGCCGTTGATTGAATGCAGGATCAAACTGCCCCATCATGAGTGTCGAAGGGGCCTTCAGCGCGCCCTGTGGTGCCATGCTGGACAGGGTGCCTGATGCAGACAAGGTCTGCGAAGAAGCAGCTTCAGAGGAAATGTTGTACAGCGCGGCAGTAACCTCGAGCGACTTTTCCCACTTGCCGAAAGCCAGGCTGTCGCGATAGATGTGGATCTTCTCGGACATGCCGCGGTCGCCTACTCTGCTCTTGACAGAATCGCCGTATCGTTCACCCTTGTCGTTCGCCTTGTTTAGCTGGGCACTTCCGGGTCCAGTAGAGATTGCCATTGCTTCAGCAGCTTCCGTAGGTTCCAACACAGTAGCAGCCTTGCCCTTCTTCGGTGTGCCTTTGCCGAACTGGTGGAGAACACGCAGGAAGAAGTAGTTGCCAAAAGTCGCGAAGACGTTGTGGAGAGGCCAGGGTAGATGGAATACGAAGATGTAGAAAGAGCTTCGGAACTGTCCAGCCACAGGGCCGAGTGCGTGTAACCCATTCTTCAGCAGACGGAAGTTGAACGGAGAGTGTATCCATGTCCTCAGCATTTGCTTCGCCAACAAGATCCTGTTCGTCGCGTTCGAGTGTAGTAGAGCTGTGACGGCGCCGCCTGTGATGATCCAGTGGTCAGCCAGGACATGTGCCTCGGAAGCCAGCCGGCCAGCAATGACCGCACCCCAGTCGTGCGACACTACCACTGCCTTCTTGCCTTCCGACAGGAACTGCTCTCGTATGCCAACAATGAACTCGGTCAACACCTCGAGCATTTCGTTCGGGCCGTACGCGGACAGACTGTCGGAGCCGCCATAGCCAGGAAGATCGACGGCTATCAAGATGGAGTCCTTTTGTAGGGAAGCGGATTGGAGTAGGTGGCGCCAGATGAGGTAAGAGTCGGGGAATCCTGGTCTTTGTTAGTTGCGTAATCCATTAAAGTTTAGTACCTGCATGACTCTGCCAGTGCATACATACCATGTATGAAGATGGTGACATTCTTCGCGGGTGACGATCCAGTGTCCTGGTTAACGACATAGTGCAGGCGGGTACCGTTGGTGGTTTTGTAGAAGGCATGCTTGAAACCTGGAAGAGGCTCCCGGTCAAGACTCCAGAAACTCTCTTGCGCAGCAGCCAACGCGCGCTTCTCCTCGGCGGTATCTTTCGCCCAGAGCGCTCCGTTCTTGATAACTGCCATGGTCCATACTCCGGCAAGGCTGAACAGTCCAAACCCAAGTTTGAAACCGCTCCAGGCCAGACTCCCGAGTTTGTCTGCCATGTTGGCGTTTTGGCTGGAGGTGTGTCGCAGTACAGCTCTGCTCAGTTGTCTGTAGATTAGGCGCTCAATGAAAGGTCGTGCGCATGTGTTGGTGGTGGTTGTAGTTGAGCGACGGTCCTGTCACATGTAGCGCGGAAGCAAAGTTGAGAAAGTGCGATCAAAAATCAAGGTTGGCTGGTATCCACCCCCGCATGCTGGAAGCAAGAACATAGTCCTGACTGTAGCGGTAGCCCCAGGGGCAGATCGCGATGGCGAAGCAGATGACCCGCGAAACCACGCGGCAGAGACGATCAAGGGTCCTGTGTGTCCATGGAAGCTGCAGTGATGATCGTTGAGGTATGACGCTATTGGCCATAGCTTCTGCTATGCCGCGGACTGACGCAGTCTGATCGGTCGGGTAGCTTCGTCCCCCGGTTCAGGGTGCAGTCGCTGGTCGCCTGGGCACCGGGTTAGGGCGATGCGCGTGCGCTGCACATCATTTAATATATGCTTGAGTTGTCACCACTGAGAGCTGGGATATCGTGGGTCTACTCGTCTATCTACGAGATTCTACGCGCAATGCTCGTACGTTATCAAAGGCAATCATGGCCTTGGCCCTTAGATAGGAACAGCCATAGTCGGATTCCTGACGTGTGCGCAATGTGATATTCCATTTTGGAGGTCCTGCCCCAATATGCACAAGAGCTCGCTCACCTGGGACTCAACGCAGCGCCCCCAATAACTTTGACATTTCAATGTCGGGTATCATAACAACTCCAACGCTATCTCGCACAAAGACTCCAACGTCCACAGGCACAGTAACTCTCGGGTCTCATCTCCTCTTCCCCTTGACCCTCTCCATGACCCTCAACTCGGCACTCCTCTGCAGCCTCAGATCCTCCAACTCCCTCTCAATCCCTCTGTTCTTCTCTACAAGCTCTTTCCTCTTCTCCATCCTCTGCTTAGCCTCCTCCAGCTTGTGCCTCACAACATCTTCCACCACCCTCTCCAGTTGCCCCGCATCCTCGATGCCATGCTCTCTGATGAAGCGGTCCGCGAATTCTTCGATAGTGTGTGGTGATGGCCCTGGACCACCTGTATGATATCCGTTTTGGTGGGTCATGTAAAGCCCCGGCACGGCGGAAGGATGTGTGCGTAGGTGGGAGGAGAGCGAGATAGGCAGTTGCGATGCGGAGATTGTGGGAATCTCGTCTGAAGGCTTTCGCGGCGAGGGCTGGGGTGGTGGGTTGAGGATGACTTCCATAAGACTGTTTTCGAACGCCTCGTCGTATTGTACTGTGGATGGCGAGAAGTCGACCATGGGGGATGTGAGTTCGGGCTCGTCGCGTGGTGTGAGGGGCGTGTTGCCCATAATCGTGTCATGGTTGCTCATATTGTCGTCTTCGCGGTTGTAATTAGCCATGCGACGCGTAATGGAGAGAAGCAGGGTGTTGCGATCCGAAGTTTGTTGGATTGAGGGGATCCGTCTCGAGACTGTCGCGATGATGGGGCTGATGCCGCATGACTAAGCCCAAGTTCCGCAGCACCTCCGCGGTCGCGACTTGCCCAACTTTTGCCTACCAAGCCCAACACCAACCCAGTCGCACATCGCCAAACAACCGATCAAACTCCACATCGCGACTATGGCCGACAAACTGCGCGCGCAGCAACAACTCGAGGCTCTCCAGGCCCGCTACATCGGTATCGGAAGCGCAGACACTACCAAGCACGAGTGGACGTCCAACATCGCGCGCGACTCGCTCTCGAGCTACGTTGGTCACCCGCCTCTTCTACAGTACATGAGCATCGGACTGGGACAGCCGCGCGAAAAGACCCGACTACAGTTACTAGAGCGCATGGTTAGGCCTGTCGGGCCTCCGCCTGAGGTGAGTAATGGGAATGTCGAGTTTTAGAAGCAATGAGCTGACAGGAAGTAGCAACAAGATTGATCGGGAGACTCTGAAACGACAGACTTGATTATGGAGACATGCGGAGAACGAAGATCCAAAGCGAAAGCCGCCTTCCATCCCCAACACGAATGCGCGCGAGGCCGGCTCGTGGATGAAGAGGAACAGATGGGTACATGCTGCTTGTCTAGGCTATCAAAGCCGATACTATGAAGTCGTTCAGTAGCGTAGCGCACGCTGAGTGCCGGTAGTGAGGTGTACACACCTCGGCCCCTCTCAAGATACCCCAATTGCCACCATAGCCGGGGCCCAAAGTCTTTCTCCAACTCGTGCTCTCCCATGTTTGACTTCTCAATCGCTATCACTCGCGCTTCCTGTTGGACCATCATCGTCGTCGTCTTCCACCACGTCACCGCCCATTAGCATCGAGACTTCACCCTTTTGCAGCATGCTCTTCAGCTCAGTGTTCCTCGGGTCCACCAACTCAATGGGCTTGAGCTTGGCCTTGTTCCTTATTCTCGGGTCGCATCCGGCATCTAGGAGCATGGCCACGATGGAGTGTCCGTGGGGCCAGACGGACTTTTCGAGCGAGTTGACGTAGCGTACGGCTTTGTGAAGGGGAGTATCCTGCTCCATGCGGTCGATCTCGTCGATCTCAAGACCGTCTTGGTCGAGAAGCATGTCGATAACTTCGACTGTGACAGAGTTAGTCAAATCATGCCCCGTGTGGCGTGCGACAAAGACGTCCTGGTGCTGCGCCGCTGGGATAGATACTTACAACTTCCGTATGTTGCCGCGACGTGAAGGCAGCCGTTACCCACGCCGTCGCGCGTGTTGTTCAATGTCTCCGCGACATGATCTTCTGGCTTCTTCCCTGATTTCGAGGCAGCAGCAGCAAGGTCTTTCAGAGTTTCCTCAAGCAGCTCGGTGTTGTTGCGTCGGCACGCTTCGAGGACGAGTTCTCGGGGGGAAGCACCCTAGATGTTGGTCAGCATTGATAGGCGCTGGGTATGCATGTGTATGCACCTCTTCGTCCGCCATGGTGTGTGGTGTTGAGGATGCGTCGGGTGACTGGGCAGGGACGGCGGTCCAGTCAGGTACGCGTGAATGTTTCGAGCTGTGGTTTGGCGGGGTACTCGGAGGTGCTAACGGAAAGCGAACAGGGCAGGGCGGTGTGAAGAAGTGAAGTATCTCTCTAATACGGCGATAAGGATGCAGGCGACGTCGACAGGCCAGCGTGCATAAGCCCCAATCTGAGACAGTCCGCTCCCAAGTGCGCGTCGCCGGTGGCTTTTCGCTGCTACACTGTCGCCCCGCACTTTGCCGTTCCAGCCCTAGCGGATCAGGGTCCGTCATAACTTTTGATCTTCTTCGCGCTCGGCTTCACGCGTCTGACTGACTTTTATCCACTGTCGCCCACCATGTTGCTTTGTAAGTCCCATACTCACATACCCGCGTGTCCCGCTTGCGTCTGCTACATGGCCACATTCACAGCCCCACGTCCCAGTTCAGCCACAGCTAACAGCCACAGTTTGCCCAACATGCAGCAATATGCTCCGCGTCTCCAAAGTACCCCCCGGCGATCCTACCACCGAAGATGCTGTCGGCCAAAACCGTTTCGAATGTCTTACCTGCCCCTACCACTTCGTCATCAACAAACGCTACTACGAACGAAAATACTTAAAGAAGAAGGAGGTCGAAGACATTTTGGGTGGAAAGGGCGCCTGGGATAATGTGGACAAGACGGAAGGTACGCTCCGATACTTCAGCCCAAGATTGCGCCATCTTGAGCGAGGCTGCTATTCCCGTTGGATATGGCTGACAACGCACAGTACAATGTCCGAACGAGAAGTGCCGGAACCACGAAGCATACTGGTACCAGCTGCAGATTCGAAGTGCCGACGAGCCCATGACTGCTTTCTACAAGGTACGCCACATACACGACTTCCTCAAAAACCCCACTGACCTGTTCCAGTGCACCCAATGCGCGAAAGAGTGGCGAGAATGATCTGCGAGTCCTGTTCAAATATCCAAGGAGTTTGGAAGCGGAGTTCTTGTCTTAGTATACCCCGGTTGCATTTGGTGAATGAAGTTCATGTTCTCTTTTGACTTGCAGGTGCCAGTCCTTGTGAAAGGCTCAGGATGATTCAGATTCCCGACCTCGAATCGGTTCATACTCGTGGTGATCATCGCACGACAACGTCGATGCATCTCCATCAACGATTCGCGCGAACCAAGACTATGCCCCAGTTTGAGTCACACGCGCATTCTGCACTGGCTGGCCCGTGCCGCAGCGTGGACGACCTCGCAAGATGGCGCGGATTCCTACCTGTTCCTCTCTCTCCCATCATTGCTTTCGGGCCTCTCGCAAAAGCATGCAACTATCTCCCGGCTCTGCTGACAGACTTTGCCTCATCAACCTTCATCACACCCGCAAGCCCTGCCTACCACCGAGGTCGGAAACCTATGCTAGGATGATGGCTCAAGCTACCGGCACCGAAGAACCAGTCATACCAGTTTCTCGGTCATTCCACGCCTGGGCGCGACTTCCTGATGAGCTCAAGTGCGAAGTTCTCTCGCACAATCTAACCCTGGATGAAAGAATTGACAAGAGGAAACACGCCCAGTATCTACAGTCGGGCCTGTTTCCGCTCTTGGCCACGCGCAACCGTCATCTAGCCAACATCGCACAAGAAGTATATTACAACAACAATGTCTTCGAGCTGTGTATCGGGTGCCGCATGCAAACAGGGGACGTCAAACTTGGCAATGGCTATTCGTTTCCCCCTGAGGACCGCATCAGCGGTCTCTGGTGTCCCAAGCCACATACTGCTGCCATGATACGTCATCTGCATATTGTGGCGATGAACTGCAAGGTCGGTATAGAGAAGGGACTTATATGTGCCTCGCACTCGACGAGTTGGATGTACCTCATAGATCTACCTCCGCGAGACTTTTGGATTAACGGTACCAAAGATAATGTACCTCGCGCCAATATAAACCCTGAATGGCAAGAACGCTTCGTCAACCTACATACCCTTGGGATCGAGTGGCGTCTTGAACGCGATATCATGCCCGGATGCTTTCTCGAGGACGGCATAGGAGACATGTTAAGAGCTTGTATAGAAAACTCTGGGATACGTCTCCGGGCACCGAAAGTGGAGTTTACGGTCCGTGATACGTACAATGGCCGCCGGTTCTTGTGGCACTATCATCCTTGCGAGCAGGATCATACCGAAGTCTTTCAACATCTAAAAGACATGATCATGGGCAAGAAATCTTGAGTCATGCTACCAATCATTGGGGGAATTGCAGGGGCGGCACCGGGTGGTGTTGAACATGTAGGATGAGCGGAAAAGCTACAAGGTCTGGACGTGCAAGATCCTCGTCTCAAGTTTCCAATAGCTGCTTTTTACTATCCATAATGCTAATGAATACGTCCTCATTGACCAAACCCAGGCATGGCTGAGACTCACGTCCAATCAAGAAGCTGATCATCTTCTTCTGTCGGGACGACCAAGACCCTCGCCACATGCGGCCATAACACAAAATCCCACAACCAATAGCCCTCCTCATTCAGATGCACATGGTCGTCAAGCATATTCTTGATGAACATGTGCCTCGTATCAACCCACTTCACCTTGTCCTCGCGATCCCGTTCAGTCTGATCCTCACATGTCTGCAGCTCGTGCTCCTTCTCAACCCGAAGAGCCCCGTTGATCTCTCCAACAACCTCCCTTAGCATCTTATTACTCTGATCCACAATCCCATCAGGTATATCCAGTCTGTACGAAATATCGCACGCCAACACCGTACTCTCCGGCGCAATCCTCAGACAAGCCTCCACCAACACTCTCCAGCTCTCCACATCCTGCTTCCGGAACGCACGCTTCTTCTGCAGATTGTTCGTCCCGGAAGCCACGATCCAGAGTTTGATGTCGCATACGTCTTTCTTCGCCGTCTTGAGCATGTCGTAGAGACCTTCCGTGAGTCGGTATACGACGTTTTGGTTGCTGTCGCCGCCTACACCGGCGTTGAATGCGACTCCAGTGTCTCCGAGCTTGCCGATATCCGTGGTGATGCCGCTGGTTTTGAAGCGCTCGAGCATGGAGTTGCCGAGGTAGACGACACTGATGGGAGATGTGTTTGCGAGATTTGGTACGAGCGCATCTGGTGCGGGGGGAGAAGCATCTTCGCTCGGTATAGGTAACGTAGTATCGAGTTGAAGACGCGCGGTAAGTTCTGGTACGTGTACTTGGTGGTGCGTTTGGCGCGAGCGTTCCTTGAACTTGGCGAAAGGTCGAAGCTTTTCTAGGAACTCGGCATCGGACTGGTGCAGGAAGTTTGTCTTCGCATCTGTAGGTATGCTGGACGCTGCATTGCTCTGTTGGGCCTTGGAAGGCATTTTCGGATTGAACTGAGATGTTATGGTTTTGCGAGGCTTCAACGGCGCGATGTTTCGTTGGGTGTAATTTGTTCAAGTAGAAGTTGAAATGAGAGCAGGATGTATGCGCACCGCTCTGACTGAGGTGAGCGTGGGATGCGACTGCTAATCTGTGGTTAGGGGTGGAGAAGGCGACGAATCAGCGCGTAGATATCAGCAATCGTTCCTGCTTGCAGCTAAACTGCGGCAGCAGAAAAGGGCGTCACAATTTCAAGGGCTGATGCGTTGGGGGATCAATGAGAATACCTTCGTGATCATACATCTGAGTAGCTAACTTTATACACCTAGAAGCTCGCCCACTCGCTTGTCAAACATGCATCTCGTCTAGATTATTTTTGGATGAGACGATACTTCCCCACGTCCAATAGCCTACCGCCCCATATTTCAAGTTCATAAGAAGGAGCGCATCATATGTTCACCACCACGTTGCTACTTCCGAACTGGATAATCTGCCCACATATGGTGCCCATATGGCGAGTCCTTCGGCCGAGTCGACACGGTCTTGATCGTCACACGGTACTGGTATTGATAAATGCCCGCATAGGCAATACCGGTGACGAATTTCGACCTCTCTGTAACGTATTGAGACCTCTCGTCTACGTCTTTGTCGTCAAATATACAGAAGCGTTGCCATCGTTCTTCTCGAATTCCGCTGGCTTTCAGGTCAAGCTGCTCACAAAAAAGTGATTCCACCGCTTCGATATCGACGTCGCTTGATCCGAATGTGATTGACATGATGGTCAGATGGAGCGTGGGGAAGTGGATTGGGCCGAGTCGCTGAA